CACACACACACACACAACCCTTCCCTTTATTTTTAGCTTTAATGTGTTGGGTGCCTGAGTCTAACACAATACTGTTCTGCTCCTGCACGGACCATGACAACTATCCCACGCTTCCTCCCTGTGCATCATCGCACTGAATCACCTGACCGTGAAATAAAAAGCGCACAAACTCTGTTAGCGGGTCAGTGCTCATCCATGCTTAACAACTGTGAACCGGCTCTCTGGCTTTAGCAGTCACTTTTAGCTGATGAAATATTTATTCACCTTGGGAAGTACAGTCCATGGCATACGTATATGTGGTATATTGTCTTCTACTAATACTAGCTGCGTACTGACCAGTTGGATGTCATCACACATATTCTTATTACTGTCTTTGGGGACTGTTGTTTTTGTCGCTTGTTTTTAAGATTAAAATGATTAACCACACCACAAGCTGCTTTTATTTCCTACTGACTGTTTTTAAGATTGTAGGGATTCAAGGTCACTGACAGATTTTTTTTTCCTCTTGGTTTCTGCTCAAATGCACCAGAGGTTGTTTTTTTTTTTCCTTCAGCATCTTTTATTGCGTGTGTAAAGATTAGACTGATTTGAGGCCAGGAGTTACCCAGATGGCTGAACAGCAGGCCCTTCTGGAGAGGACGATATAAGCAGCTGCTCACTCTGATAGTGGAAATGTGTCACAAACAGATATACAAACACACACATGCACACAAATGCACTCTCTCTCTCTCAGCTTAATCCCCTTTCAAATATGATGCTGAGTTATAGTGCCGATGAATAAGTATATGTGAGCAGCCTGTCATCAATCTGATTTGCTTTCCTTTTTTTGGCAGGAAAATTCAATTTGTAACAGCAGAGCTACTACGGTTTCACATTTGTCACAACAGACAAAAGTTTGCCACAGTCATGGTGGAATTAGGGAAGTGGATTATGAAAACTTTGCACTGGATTTTGACTTTTTTGTAGCGGATCACTGTGCCAACTCACAACGACATCGCTCACTCACAATGATGCATAATTAAGAAGAGTCTGCAGCCACGCTCGTGGTGTTTTGAGTTGAGTCACATGCTCACAGTGACCAAAGTTGAAATTCAACCTGAGAGTGTGATTCATGTCTGTACTGGATTTTATGGCAGTGCATCTAGAGAAACTATAATGTTGACCTGATGGTCCACCGGGGGGTTTCTGACCATAGTTGTTGTTGTCTCCTGTATGAAGCCAATTCTTGAATTTAAGGCGGTCCTCACTAAATTGGTTGCTGTGGACTAAAGTATTCAGCCATTGTCTTTGGCCACAGGCAATTTGCCTACCATGTTAAAACGCCCCTGCAAATGACTGCAGAGATATTTCAGTCCAAGAACAATGTGATGGGGCTACATAGATAGTCGGGTTATCTAGTGACAATGTAGTGCTGCCACTTGTGCCATTAACATTCACTTCAACACTCTCTTCCTCTCTGCCTGCCAGATGTTTCAACGAGGAGAGCTGCCTGTCGCTCAAACAGCTGGAGGGATACCTGGTGGTCCTCCAGCCTGACGCCCCTCAGATCTCTCTGTCTGGCGTCGGCCCTCATCTGGCTCGTCCTGCCCCTGAGTTCGAAGGCCCCCGCGGCGTCCCACTATTCCCCGAGCTCCGCATCGTCTGCTCCCTGTCTCACGCTGTCAACACGGCTGCACAGGGGATGGAGGGTGGAGGTCAGTCAGTCATAAAACGTTTCCAGTCGATGCAGAGGATATTTTCTGTTTTCTGCTTGGTTTATTTTTCTGTGTAGAGAAATGAATTGATTCTGATTCTCTGTGTATTCTTAATGATGTTGTCATTTCCGTCACCTCTTAGCTCTGATGTCCGACGCTGTGGCTCACACCTTGGACGGCTGTGAGGTGCAACCACTGGGGGAGGAGCTAAGCCCAGAGAGGGAGGAGCTTCTGGTGGACATGGATGTGGTGCGAGAGAGAGGACTGGAAATCATCAATACTACTGCTTACATTGCCATCACAGGTAAAGAAAAATTCTACCTTTTTAAAAAAGTTACACAGGTCACCAACTCCAAGAAAAACAAAACACAAAAATACAAGCTACAGAAAACTCTCCCGAAAAAAATAACCAAGACCTTGTTTTCACATAAATCTATAAAATTATTTTTCATGGCCTTCAAAACTTCTGCACTCACTTCTTTGAAATTCAATGTAGTACTCACAATGACCTAAAAAGTTAAAGCCATCCATCCAATAAAACCCTCCCCCAGCTGTCAATAAGCAGCTGCAGACTACTTTTCTCTCCCCCTCCTTATCGTCTCAGTATCGACTCCCTGTCTTCTTTTTATTCTCCTCTCTTTTTATCCTCCTATCTTTCAGGTGCCGAATCCATCTCTGTGTACGAGGACGTCCTTCGCTCTGTCCGCTACCGACTAGCCAAAGGCTCAGCTCGCTTTGAGAGGCGGTTCCGCCTGTCCTGCTCCGAGATGAATGGCAGATACACCAGCAATGAGTTGACTCTGGAGGTGAAGCCAAACATCATTCACGTAGCGTATTTGGTTGAGACAGCAGATGCTTTTTAAGTGTTTCTTTCCCCTAGTGTGTTATCAAGGTTTTTTGTTCATGTAGTTTATGTTGTGTATGCTGCAGCAGTGTGAGGAAAGTTGTGTGTTTTGCACAATAACTACAAACACGGTTCTCCTCCTTCCCTCGTCAGGTGAACTTCCTCCACTCTCTGGACAGTCTGTACCACCCGTCCCACCTGCTGGCCTCCCAGCAGCAGTTTCTGCATCCATCCCACCACGCTGGGGAGTTGAGTGGACACACCCTGCCCAATCCACACCGCAACTCTGGTGACATTTCCCTCTTACTGGCTCTTAATGAAGTTAGAGTAAAAGACAAAAAAGCCCACAATTGTTACATTGCTCATTAAAGGTTTCCATGGTGTTCACAAATGTTAAATCCAAAGGGTGAGTGTTCCAAAGTTTACAATTCAGCACTTCAAAGCTACAGTTCTCTTTAGTTTTAATTTGGAAGAAAGGAACTAACAGATCCTTATCAAAAGACCCCAGACACCCTCCAGGCAGCAGTGTATTTTTAATGTTTGGCGGTGGTCTGACTATGCAGAGCTCAAAAAGCAATTACAAGATTACATACTGAATTTGATGCAGAGCCGGTGGAACAAACAGTGTGTGCACAGTGTGGCAGACGCCTGGTGTTTCAGCGCTGCAGTAACTTTAGGATGACAAAATGATCAGGTTGAATCATGGTGCCCACACAGACTTAACAGCCTATTTAAGTTCTGCCTTTAGGGAGATGGTCAGTTCAGTTAAATGTGGTATTTTTTATTCTTTCTTATCCAAAGAGAGATTCTAATTAACCCACAGGCATTCAGTGACATAATATCGAGACTAAAAAATTGCATTATACAGAAGGAATGTAAAATTTAGCAGCGTTTTAGGAAAAAAATGAATTTTCTTTGGTACACAGCTTGAAGCACATTTTTTCCCACTAAAACATAAAGTTTTAAATAGTGATCAGAAATGTTTAATTTGATTCTTCAGAAAGAGATAGATAGTGCATCATTGGATGCTATTTTCAGTCGTGGATTAGTGAGTACTTAACCTAACGTAACCTGAGGATGATGTCACTGTTTTTACTTTAATGAAAGAACATGTGGCCCAGAGCAACAGTGTGGCTTCTTTTTTATGTTATTGATACGTTTTTAGTAATAATTGAGATAATAACCGAACTTTTTACTAGATACACACATTGTTCGTCATTGTTGGATTAGCGTAGATTAAAAATGTCTTTTAAAAGTGGTTTATTTTCTATGTATAATTATCTCTATATCTTATTGACAGTTGTACCAGGAGCAGCTACCGTCATCATAATGGTGTGCGTGGGTTTCCTGGTTGTCATGGTGATCCTGGGCGTTTTCCGAATTCGCTCCATCCATCGCCGTGGTGAAGGCGCCAGGGGTGGGGCTAAGGAGGGCAGCAGCCAATGGGACGACTCCGCCCTCACCATCATCGTCAACCCCATGGAGGCAAGAACCAGATCAGTAATGGAGAGTTGACTGATGACACCTGCTCAGCTCTTGTTTTCATCCATGTGTTTGTCTTTTCTTTTTTTCCACAGTCCTACGAGTCTCGCATGGGAATCTGCGCTGACAACGAAGGGGAGGTGGAGGAGGACGAGGAGGCAGCGGAGTCACCTGACGACGCGAGCGACGACCAGCGAATCATCATCAAGAAAGAGGGAAGAGACGGCACCGCCCGTCGCTACTGAGCCACAATGTATATCTGCACCAGTTCTCATGGAAATCACAAACCGGCTCACGAGTCACACACGCCAATACTTTTAATATCAACAACTGCTGACACCACTAGTATAAGGAATGTATGCTTACAAACACGACGCACAACACAGTCACTGTAATACTCTTGACACTCGACACCATATGTGACCTATAGCCAACAACAGGCTGTTGTTCTTCACCTAAATGTTCAATGGCACAATGTATACAGTTAATGTAATTTAACCGCCTGAGCAAACCCCACCAAATTGTACGTGGTGCACCAGTTCTGAATCACACGATGGTCATGTGATGTATAGTGTAACACTGGCTGAATGAGGTTTCTTTGTTTTGTTTGTTTGGAAGAAAAAAAAAGATTGTATTCTATCTTTGTTATAGAACACAGACTGAACTCTTTACAAATCCACAACATGCAGGCCTTGAATAGATCTGTAGACAAAGACACAAGCCTTGATCCCGACACGTCTCCACGCTCCCTCGTTAGACTGACTCAAGAAGTCTGTGCACAAGCTCTTCTCTCCCTCTTTACATCCTCTCTCGACACATTCCTTCACCCACGGAGTGAAGACAGTGAGGTCAGACATTACGATCACTCTCCAACTTCAGAAAATATGAAAAAATGATATGCTTGCAGGTATTTTACTTTTAATATTGTGACTTCTTTAGTGCTCCAGGTCTCAACTACATACTTTATCTGGGGCTGATCATAATATTTGAGGAGTATGAATTAATGAACCTTGCCCTTGGCACAAGTTGGTTCCTGCAATATTCCAAAAACCCTGAGTAACATCGTCTTGGTGTTGAGTCCACGACGTCGTTGTCAGGATGGTTTCTGGTTTTACTTTGCAAAGTTTCAACTTGTGCCACTAAATGACTATGGTGTAACATGACCTCTGACCCCCGTCTCCTACTGACCACTGGAATGTCTCTAAATGACTCACTGCACTGTTTCACTCACTGCACACTGCTCTTTCAATAACTGCAACACAACACGTGCAAACATATACACACACACACACACACACTCACACACTCCATAATGCTACCCCTGCTGTCTCCAGAATGTCAGCTCAGCTTGGGCAGTTTTGATTGTATTGATTGTAATAACTTTTTCTGTACATACAGTGATGAATAATACAATATTATTGTTATTACTATTATTATTGCAGCCACTCTTTCTGTTTTCCTGCACACTCCGAGAGGGAGCAGATTATGATTACTTTTTTCTCTAAAGTGATTTGTCACCTTTACAGCATCAGAAAACCGTCTAATAATAATAATAATAGTAGTAGTGATAAGGATGAAAATCCCTGGCTTGATGAGTGTCTCTTAATTTGTGTGTATAATTGTTGTAATTTAAGAATTTGTCAATATCTGAATCACAAAAAAAGGAGGGCACATCGTTGTGATACTTAAATACGTCTTACTCATATTATCTTTTCCACGGGGTGATTTTTTCACATCACATTTCGAAACTTTAAAAAAAAATTCTATTTACTTTCCACATCTGATAACTTTTGATTCAATGAATGAACAACTGTGTGCTTCTCCTCACCTCTCCCTCCCCCCTGTGCGTCTCTTGCTGTCTGTCTGTGTAGCCTATCAATGTGCAGTGCTAAACCTGTCAGTAAATAAAGCCTGTCGTTTTTGAATGTGATGTTAAGAAGGAATAAACATTGCATCGATTAATAACTTATATTATTACTATGTTACTATTGGAACATTACCTGTAATTATTGATACAATGATGACATGGATTATGCTGACTAATTGTTATTGAGAACTGTCAGAAAACATTACAAAATTCATAATAAAAACACTATATGACGTCTCCATGGGAAAGATTTCTTGATATAATAGAGTTCACACTGAATGAAGTCATATAATAATTCTACTGTTTATGTGAGTCCAATAGTTGTGGTTACAAACTACCACAACTCAAGAAAAAAATGTAGATACATGCATTTCACTTGAAAAATGTAAGCTACTGGATAATTATAAGAATATTTCATTTTGAAATATTATCATTTTCTTACTTCTATTTGCACAGTCAGTTGTGCAAGTATAGTTAATTAAGTAGAATTTATTTTAGCCACTACATAATCAAATTTATTCCATTACAAGCTAAATAAATTGTTAGAATTGTATTCAGAATATAAAAATAAGCAGTAAAATAGTAATAAATAACAAACATGATGAAGGTGATCGTATCAACTTTAAACTGTGAGCCATTTGTTTGTGGCATGTTATTTCTTTTAAATCTAGTAGAGTAAAAGTAGAGCGTAGAATAACGCTTTACTTCAGTAAAAGTACCAACAGCACAGTTTCAGGAATACTCCATTACAAATAAAAGTACTGAATCCAATACTCATTGTGCAGTAAGTTAGTAAGATATTCCCTTTGTATTTCACAGCACGTGACTTGTATTAGCAACATGTAGCTTATTGTAGCTATTTGATCAAATCTACATCTGAGGGATAGAGAGAATATTAATGAAACAGAAAAGAAGATGAAACAAACAAACCTATCAATTCATGTTGGACTAACTGGTATTTAATTTAATTTAAATTGATTTAATTTAAACTGATTCCATTTGTCCTGTATCTGTTCGCTCTGATATAAACAATCAATCACAGTGCACAGAAACAAAAGCTTTTTTTTTTTTACGTAAAGTCGGTCACCGTTCTTTTTCCCCCCTTGCGCTGACGTGCTCTTACGTAAACCCCGTTGGAGAATCCTGAAACCTCCGTAGCGCTGCTTGGAGGCTCGGTGGTGGTGGAGGGTTTTGTGGGTCATGGAGGAGGAAGGTAAATAAAGGAGACGCGCTGGTAACACACGGCGGCTGCTCTCGCACGGTTTCCCGGGAGGTTTGACACGCTGGACGCGGCAGCTTCTGGCCCGACACGGTCGTTGAAATCAGCCGGAGAGGAGGGACGGTCCATCGGCTCCAGCAGCAGCAGCAGCAGTCGGCAGCGAGGTGAGCACCGTGCTACCCGTCTGTTCATGCCTCTGTGGTCGCACACTGCACTGGCCCTGCTGGAGCTAGCTACCGCTAGCTACTGCTAGCTACTGTAGCTACAGATAAAAGCCAAGCTGCTCGTTGATTATTGACACGTGTTTCCTTTTAACTGGCTTTTTTTAACTAGCAACATGTCGGCGGCTGTGAAGAAAGAACGTCGACTAAGCTAATGCTGCAGTTTATGAGTGAAGCTACAGTTAGCTTCAGGCAGAGAACAGAGCTGTGGTGTCTCAGTCAGTTTAACAGTGAACTGGTCCCACACACACTCAATAACAGTCTGTCTGCACCAGGATGATGACGAAGAGTCTTTGCATGCAAGTCTTCATGAATAACACTTCACAACACAATGTGTGTGAATGAGCAGGACACAAACACAACGTGATGTCTGCAGCAGGTTTGAGTCATGTAAGAAGTCTGTGACACTGTATGTATTAATATCTATCTAATCCTCTTTTACTTTGACCCTAATCATCACTCAGCAGCTGCTGGAATCAGTGGTAATAAAACATCTTTAATGATATAAGAGTCCACCTGTAGACTGGTGTGTCCCCTTCCTGTCACATTTAGGTAAACCCTGTAGAGTAGAGTAGACAAGGAGTTAAATTTCTATTCCCGACAGTTCGTTATGAAAACTGTAACCATTGTGAATCCCTCCGGGGGGGTTAGAAGAGTTGAGAGGCCAGCATATATAACAGATTTGTCATCTGTTCATCTCCGGGTCTGGATATATGCCAGTGAGTCGAGCAGGATGGTTTCCTCATGGACAAAATATTTCCCGGGTTTGCATTTAGTCACTAAATCTGTCTCAGGAGGATATTTTTTCGTTTTTACTGCTCTGCTGTTTGAGGATTAGGTGAGTGATCATCAGATAAAGAGGAAACAAATGGGACCTAATGTTAAAATTGAGGCTGTGACACAAAGGCTTTGTATTATTACATTTAATTTTAGCCCTGATATGACACCAGAATGTCTGGTTACTTGTTCAGTGCCTTACCTGAACGTAGAACCAGGATTTTCTACAAAACCCTTGATTTCATTTAACAAAGTAAAAGTGTAGAAGAACTTTACCCAAATAAAATAATTTGAAATTGGCAAAACGTTTGATTTAATCTGGAAATAATTGAAAGTCACAAGATAGCCAAGACTTTGATAGCTTTTTTAAAAAATGTCTCTACAGTTTCTGATCTTCAGTCATAAGCACATATTTCAGTCAGTCCCAAAGAAGTGTTAAGTTTCAGCACCCTTACCTTTGTGGCACTAATTGTATTCTGTTATTTTAATTATAACAATATCATAATCTAGCATTAAATCTTTAAGTCTTTTTCCATCTGTATATAAAATAAAATCTAGAGGTAAAATCTGCTTTACTTACTGCACTAGCTGGGTGAAATATGCAGTGAATGTCTGTGCCTGCCGAACCATCATATCCACATTATTTATGGTTCATCCTAAGCCAGGAGATGACACGGAAAACAGCAGATGGAGGCATGGAGCTTGAATTTTGTTATGTGTCATGGGGCGAACTGTGCTGTGTGCGTGTGTGGACGCCCTTGAGGTCTGAACTGCTCTGGCCTGTCTGTCCCTACAGGGATCAGAAAAAACTAAGGGATGCTGTGCTGTGCTTCAGTGCGACTGGGAAGTGTCTAAAAATACGATTCCATTAACTTTCTCGAATTCAGCTTGAATGATGTGCAATTGTCCAAAACAAAACAAAAAAAGACTAATGTGTCGATTCAACCTCTGTTTCAGTTCTCAGGTGGTCTGATTGGGTTTGCCTCATCCTTGTGTTGCCATGGCGATGCGGGAGTTGGTGGAGGCAGAATGTGGGGGAGCCAATCCCCTCATGAAGCTGACCAGTCACATGACCAAGGAAGGGGGGGCATGGCGGCACCGCTCAACACCTACAGTAAGTGATCTGTACACATCTGTTGGTGGTTTAGTTTTTGGAAAAAATAAGTTCATACAAAACATGAATAATTCATCCAAGTCATGTTGCTGGATACTGATATTTGACTGTTTTCTCAGATTCCCCCCACTCCTATTGAAATTTCAACTGAAGAAGAGGTCAGTGCTCATGTTCCTCTCTGTATTCAGGATACTGTTTGGTCTCCAAACATTAGAATCATTTTGAGTAGCAATATGTAGTAATATGTTTTTTATTTTTGTCGCAGCTCGTGAATGAGTTTCTTCAGGCCCCCCCACGGCCACCACACACATTTGACATGGGTCAGCTGCTTGAGGAAATGCAGCAGATTGACCAGCAGAGCTACAGACAAGCTCCACAGAGAGGTACACTACCTTATTGTTATTAATGTTATTATAGTTGTCATTTTGTATACCAGTTTCAGGTATTTTTATCCATTGATGTCACAGCTCCAGATGTGGCAGCGTTGGCCCTCTCTGGTGACTGGACGGCTGAGTTCCTCTCGAGTTCTGACTCTGCCTCCACACCGGGACTCATCGCTCTTGGCGATGCAGCAGATGCTGATTGGACGAGGGAGTTTATCGCTGAGGCTGCAGGTAGACTTGCTCTTTCTTTCACTCTGGAAACACGCTGCGTTCTTCAAGTTTCTGGAGTCGTCATCAGTCTGTCATTTATCATGCACTTTAGCTGACGTCAAAACTGACATCAAAGCAAAACTGCTTTGTAAAAATCCTTTTACTTTTGCAGAGTTTGTCCTTTTTACAATGTGTCTCCTGCTGTGTGCGTTTTCTCTTTCTTTCTTTTTTCTTGAAATCCAGATCCTGGACGCTGGGCAGAGGAGTATCTGGAGCAGTCAGAGGAGAAGTTGTGGCTCGGAGACCTTGGAGACAAGGAAAATGAATGGTTAGAAAAGCGGCTGGGGAAATGGATCGAGAGTGTTGAAATCATGCAGAAGAAAAATGGCTAATATAAATGACTACTTCAGGGACACTGTGGAGTACAGGCAAGACATCTGTGTAAAAGAGAACAAGAGCATTGCTAGAAAAAAGATTGTTGATTTAAAAACACCTCTAAACCTCGAAAGTTCTAGTCTGTACATTTAAAAAATTTGAATCGTTTAAATTTATAACCTTTTCTGATGATCTTGTCAAGCTGTGAGCAGTGTCAGAAGCCAATGAAGTGTACAGTGAGTGATTATACTGCCTAGATGTCTAATCATCAACAACCTCAAGAACTGACTTCTACAATAAAGCAAAGCACATTCCTCAGCTTGAATTGACTTGTTCCACACTTTATATACACATAGAAGAAAATCAATGTGCTGTTTCTTCTGATCTTATCATTTTACAACAGTGTGTTTTTAACTTTACAGGACAAAAGAGTATCAACCTGGGGAGGAGCTGAGGGAGACAGCCAATGAACTTGTCTCAAAGGTCGATGACCCCAAGTTACAAAACACAGAGGTGAGCAGTGTGTTTGTTTCTGTCTGACATTGTCATTGGATCCTTTAAATACCATGTGTCATTTGTTTTTTGTATCTATCACCATATCTTTTCTCTTTTTCTTCAACATCTTTTTAGTGTATAGTTTCTTGGAGCCCAGTACATTGATAATGTTTCTCACTTTAAGGTTTTCCAAGGTTATTGTCTTTGTGTGGGAAGAAACGTGTTGTCTTGGAAAGAAACTCGCAGTATATTAGTGTAAACCTGACCATTTAGCAATGGTAATAGTAAATGTTTTTTTTCTTTTTTTTTCCGATGTTGTGTAGTTCCTGCGATTCATTAGGCAGATTGGCGAGGGCAGTGTCACAGTGGAGAGCAAAACAGACAGACAGCTCACAGATAAAGCTCAGGCCCAGGAGGCTCAGAACTGGGCCTCCAACC